CGTACTGGAAAATAATGCGGTATCGCCTGCGCATTTTGAATGGCTGCATCTGTAGGTTAACATACGAGACAATAATAAAGTATTAAGTTTCCAATAGTTATGAAAGTCATTTAGACACAAGCAGAACTTAAGTCCTAATGCATATACTTGTCAAAAATTTCATTATACATCTATCCCCCAATTTCCAAGCACCTAATTTAATCATTTTCACTAAAACAAAAGAGCAAATTATTATACTTGTTTCCCGCAATTACAAGAGATTTTTGCTACAATAAGCCACATCTTCATAGTTGAACAGAAGACCTCTGGGCTATGGCGACTGCTACGTGAGAAACTGTATGGTCACAGAACCTTGTCTGGAGCACCTGCATTTTAACAGTCATGTTCGTAAAGCCAGAGACTGTAATGAATACCAGGTGTGCCTGAATTGAAAAGAGCAGCTTAGGCACCACAATCAAAACAGGTAAACATCTAGTAACAAAAAATCTCCAAGGCACTCCACCCCTTATTATCAAACTTTAAAACAACAGAACACACCACAGATTTGCCTCATTGCGGACAAGTGAGACACACCACTGGCCACCGACAGGGACTGCCGGTCACTAGTGCACTGCACATACAAAATCACAACTCGTCACAGCGCTCCACACGGCCCATGAGTCTCAGGTCTGAATGGTCTCTGTTCATGATGACCACAGAAAAAGCACATAACACCACCGAAGGACACAGTGTGGTGTTTACATGTCATACTGTCAGCTAATGTTAATACACAAGGTTTTTCCCCCATGTTACTAGAAGAAAAAAAACAAGAAAGGAAGTTTGTGTCCGATGCTAATGGATTAACCGCAGGCACATGAAAAGGCATGCCCAAACCACAAAACTAGTACAAGCCACAGATTTCAGAAGGACCCCAAGAAGTGCTCATCTCAGTGCACCAGAGAAGAGATGACAAGCTATAGAGGTGTCTCAGTCAGGGGTGGTCAGGCTATTGCACCAGTACGCACAGAGGTTTTTAAATGCTCTGATGTGTGATAGCATCCTCATTAATGCTACACTGTCATAGTTTCAAAAACAGGAAGAGTGCTTTCTGAATGGTACCATAATTACCTGAATTTTCAGAAATGAGAGTTTCCGAAATGGCCTTATGCTTCAATTTACTTGACCACCTTACTTGTGAATCATTCACAACCACACACCAGAAGCAAATAATTGAAAAATTAAGTAAAATAATATGGGGAAGAACAATAATTATTATAATTTGTATGTATTATTCCATTTGTGAGCCTCTCTCTCTCCTTACTATTCTTGTGTCCTGTGATGAAGTGATTGCATCTAGAGTATAGGGGTTGAATTACCGTCGTTAAATCACCCAAACTGTAGGTTTCTTTGAGCTTAGTGGTTGTAGAGCTAATGTGGTTTAGCATCCCTTGATTTCTATTTGTCTGATGACAAAATTATATAAAAAATGAGCTCAACTGATTGCGATATATGAATGTATAACTTTTGCTGCTTGCAATACTATATAAGCACCTGTACATGCAGGTGTAATGAGTTTGTAGGTTAAAGTAGGCTACTATTTTGTAAAAACCATTGGTTTTTGAAATAAGAATACTTCCATTTTCTCAGATACCTGATCACTGAATCACGAAATTCCTTTACAGTTACCCTGCTGAATAAAACTATCTAGATCTCAATGGTATAGGTAGGCGCTCCAAGCAATGTTATATGCAAATGATATCATTTAAGCTTAAAAAATTAGTTCTACATATGAGTGCTTCTGAAAACACTGAAATATAGATTTTGGTGCTGTAACCGATTCACATTTTCATATGATCGTCTGCAATATATTTGCAACTTTCAAAATGTAAAGCTTTTGAAATCCAAAATTGCTCACTGCCTGAAAACACTGGCCCTACCTGTGCTCTTCTGGGAAGAACCCAGTATGACTACATGTTGTTTGCTTTCCTTTATCGAGAAAATAATATTCAGAAAACCTTCTGCAGTTGCTAAACAATTCCCTCCACCACTGCACTTGGTAGCACAATGCCACAATATCATTCTCAAATGCTTTCCTCATCTTTCTCTAACATGTGCCACGGTCAAATGCTGTGAATTAATCTTGGCAGAACACACATCAGTGTGAGAGTATTTTGAGCGCAGTCCCTTGAATGCATCCAGATGTCATACCTGTGTGAGCATTCCTGGCTGTATCTGCAGAGCCTGCGCAGACTGTGTCTGAGGAACTATAGGAACAGTGTTTTCCATCCTGACTGGAAAGGCAGAATGTTTAGTGGATGTCTGAAGCCCTAGAAAAGAAAGATAATTGAGCTGGTATTTATACAAAAGACTATGCATATACATTATTTATTATTTCAGATTAATCTGACAACTTTAACAAAATCTACTAAAAAGCAATCTAAATCTAGTTAGATTACCCTGGATTGTTGGAGGACACACAATCAGTGTCTGCTGGAAGGGTTCAGTCTGGGCACACAGCTGGGCAGGTCGGGCCTGCAGAGAAACACTCTGCTGTGTGATGCCCGGGATGCTGACCGCAGCCTGCTGATACAGGGCAGGCTGATAACTCAGAAGTGGCACGTTGGTGCTGGTGAGAGAGAGAGACGGCGCACCTGCAGAAGGAACCTGAAAAGAAACATGCAGACATTTAACAGAAATCACAGTGTGAATAGGGAAGAAGTTAACTCAATCAACTGAACAGAACTGATACATGCAAACTGAGGTCATGCAGAAACTGGACTGACCACAGGAAGGATGCCACATAAAAGCACAGATTTATGGAACATGTTAGACAGTCAATAGACAGGAGACCTTTCAGAGCAGATATTTCCTAAAAAAAAATGATTATGTTCCAGGAAAACTCAAAAGAAAACTAGAACTATAATTATAAGCTAGTGCCTTATTTTCAGATCCAATGATTATATGTGAAGCCATGGACATGTCATTTGTGGAAGCATGTGTCAACCCAACAGATAGAAAAGCAGCTGTAGTTAATAAAAAATAAACATACAACAAAACCCCAAACAATTACAACCTTTTTTTTTGCCAAGGATTAGAAAACCTTCCCCTGTAGAAAGGGAAATCTGTAATACCCATGACCTCAGTACTGGAGAGCTGGATTTTCATGAAGTAAGGGAGAGATTGCCATAGACTACAAAAGTAAGTCTTTGAATGCCTCCCATCTCAGAACTGATCTGGCTAGAGATAGCTTGACTGATATCTATATTATACTAACTTCAAGCCTGATCCAGATGTAAGCCAACTGCTTCAAATGCTTTGGGGAACAGAACATGTACTACCTGATTGTGCTGGTTAAGTTGGCTGCCAAATGTCACAGTGAGGTTGCTGGCAGTGTTTTGTGCAGCGTTTGTACTAAAGATGCTCTTGCCGTTGTCGAAGCTATTCCCTCTGCGCTTGCAAATTTCCATGTTCTGAAAACAGGACTTCACACTGAAGGGAAAAAGAAGACATTTAGGGCAGTCTATACAAAACAGAAAAGCACAATATGTTACTCAACACCTCTTGCAGAGTCATTGGAAAGGTGGCGGCCTGATCCAGTAAACCAATTCCTTGGCTTTGCAGGGGATGAAGTGTAGAAAATTCAAGTAGACAGAATTTAATCATTTTGAAATTGCAAGGCACTGGGTATCTCAGCCTGGATACAGGAACACATTCAGTGACGCAAGTAGAAGAAAACAGCAGGCAGCTAAATGCACTAAAAACAGATCTTCAGATAAACATGCACCATGCAAAAGACTTGTGTGATAAAGGCACAAAGAAAGCTGAAAACCTTTTCACCTCCATGAATAATGCTACTCAGATTACTCTTCACTGACACAAAAGCGTATTTGTTTAATGGGAGATGCAAAATATTTCTTGAAATGTTTTTATGAACTTACACTTTGCTCAATAATTAAATGACTAGGTTGCATTTAAAATTTTTGTATGAATGTACACATAACTGTGTAATTGCTTGTTACTCTGGATAAATTGAGCATAGTATTTTTGAAGTATTGAAGGGTTGCTTGCACAACTGTTCATTTGAAATTGGTGTTTTGTTTGTAATTACATTTGATCTGATGTGCCTTCTAAATTACATCTGATAATTGACCTCTTCTTAATAGTTCTAGTGTTAATGTGCTACAGTCATTTTGTGAGTCTCCTGATTTGAGTTGACTGAAGAATTCTTCATAATCTCCACCCTTACTTAAAAGGGCATTTAAAGAGGTCTTCCACTCACTGGGAACTGTGTGGGAAGTCCAGAAGGTGAGCCATTGTCACAAAAGAGTGGCCAAGAGTTTTCATCGGAGTTATTCTTTTATCAGCATCCAAGGTCAGCATTTTTTTCAACAAATCAATGAACTCTCGCCGATCTGCCTTCTCAGCCAGCATATCCGTTCCTTCCAAATCAGTGGACATGTTCACCTTGCATGACACACAAAAAAACAGGAAACAACAGAGAGTTTTATATGCTTTGTATTTTCAATTGGTCACATCCTTTAATTTCAAGATCATGTTTCATGACGAGTATTTCAATTTCATGACACTAAACTGTACAATTCCAAAGAAAACAGTTATGTGTAAATGAGCATGACCTCCAAGGACAAACAACAAGCATTCAATGACTTTATCAAGCGCAGAGAAGCAATAAAAAAAATGCTTGAGTACATAGCAAATAGTGAGACATTTTAATCCAGGGAAGTTATTTTTAAGCTTTACAATGCATTTATTAGACCTCTGTTTGCTGACCAATCAAATGAATAAGATTCGTCACCTCTTTCATTCTCTTAAGGATTCTGAAAAAAAAATTAAATCCTTATTTAAGTGTGTTCTTTTCCCGACTGCAGTAACTTAATGGCTTCAGTACCGATACATAGATTTCTAAGAATGGGGAATATGTTCTAATCTTTCTTTTTTCCCCAAGCAGATCTTCATGCTGGATTGTTCTGAAAATGACAAATCAGGTTGTCTGACATGCATGACTTAACTGTGAAACGTTCATTCACTAGAGTTTTAACTGTATTACGGTGCAAATCAGATAATCACAGGCCACTGCAAGACAAACAGTTCCTATGTATTTCTATACTGACAGCCTTTTAATTATTTAATTTTCAGATTTGCACTAAATTTTGAGGAACTGCATTAAGTCAAAAGCAACAGTTCAGGATTGTGTTAAGCATTGACTTTATAACTGTCTACAAGGCCTGGCATCGTTATTGAGTTATGCTGCTTTTTTATCTTTGATATATTCGTCATATATACAGTTTATGCCATATATATTTGTCAAGTGTTTTTAAAATTAAAAATTATCTTTAGACACAGTGATAAAAGGCTAAATTAATTACCTGCATCATATCATCCAAACAATTGAAAATATACTTCCTGGCTTCCTTTGACTTTATTCCCATCTCTGCTTCGTGTTCCGCTGGTGTCTGAAAAGAGGAGCACAAGGGAATACAAAGGAACCATTAATAGATGCAGCATAAACTCAAGAAAAAAAAGGGAAATCTGATCAAGGATTTAAAGCTAATCTTAACCAGAATCAGCACAGGTAGCTGGATCTGAATGGAGATAGAAGACTCTTGTTTACTTACCAAGAGGTGCGTCAGGATATTGTTAAGAGATACAGTTCAGACACAGACTCTTTTGAAGTGCTCGGCAAACAGCCAAGACCAGCTCTTTCCTAATAACACCAGTCTGAAAACAGTTGCTTCTGAACTCTTTTGCTGAAACAAACTGTCTACTTTTCAATAAACACTTAAATTATGAGATTAATTCACTTGTTATTTAAACATGAAAAGGTCCTGTGATTTGTTAAGAAAACACCCAAATATACACATAATAAATTCAATTAACTGCTTAGAAAGAGTTTTTTTGTTCTAGGAAAATGGCTATTAAAATATCTCCTAAACAAGATAACTTCCTGGAAAAATATAAACACATGTCCCTGAGATGGTGCAGTGGTTAGCATTGCTGCCTCACAACATAGGGGGCCTGGGGTGCAGTCTGTGTGGAGTTTGCAAGTTCTCCACAGGTTTGTGTGGGCTCTGGTTTCCTCCCAGTCAAAACATACAGTGCCTTGCAAAAGTATTCAGACCCTTGACCAATTCTGTCATTTTACTTAACCACAAATGCTACAACGAAACTTTGTTCTCTGTGACATTTTTATTTCAGACACTATTTGAATAGTGCACTGCAGGCGCTATTTGAAACTTGTGGTGCACAAGCGTCATCCGACTAACCTGAACAACCTGGAGCAAATCTGCCTGGAAGAAAGGGCTAAAATCACTCCTGAACAGTGTGCAAAGCTGGTACATACTTACCCCAAAATACTTTAAGCTGTTATAGCCGCAAAATATTTTGGCTCTACAAAATATTCAAATCGAATACTTACGCAAACAGCATATTTCAATTATTTTTTATTTTTCTTAAGAATATTTTCTAACATAAAACAATGTCACATTAGAATACTTAATTTTGAGTTTCAGTGCTTCGAAATAAAAATATCATAGAGAACTAAATTTCAATGTAGGATTTGTAATTCAGTAAATTGAGAGAATTGGTCAAGGGTCTGAATACTTTTGCAAGGTCGCTGTATACTGGTAGGTTAATTGGGTTCTGTGCTTTGGTCTGTCTGCCCTGTGATCAAGAGGCATGCTGCCCAGGGTGTACCTTGCCTTCTGTCCTTGGCTTGCTGGATTAGGCTCTGGCTCCCCTGTGACCCTGTACTGGTTCAAGTGGTTAGAAAATGGATGGATGGACGCATGCCCTTTTACCTTCAGTCTCCAAAGAGGGTAACTGGAATCATGGCCTCTGTTAAAGAAACGGCTGGTTTTGGTCCCTGCGCTCAGTAAGTACTCTGCGGGCAATCCCTGGGTTTGCGAGATGTATCGTATCTGCAAAAACAAGAGATAATCCCAAAAACAAACTTCACTAAAACATAAATATAGCAATGCAATACCCAACAATACTCACAGTTTGATAATTCTATGTCCTCTGAGAGATTTAGAGAGGCAATAACGTCACTTCTACTCTGCACTGTGCATGTGCTGTCTTAGCAACCACCACCAGTTATTATCTATTCCTGTATTATCTATTCTACATACTAATGTAGTACATGACGTGGAAGACCCTTTTTTCAACCGAAGGAACTTTATTACTTATACACATATACGTTAAACATCTTTTAAAAATGTTAAGGAATTTGCCAGAAGTTGTGGATATACTCTTGCAAATATACAGGAGTTGTCACCACCTTCAGCAGCATTAGTGTAAAACTCAGGAAATCGGTAGCCTTTATAATGAGCCACTGAAATTAATTCCAGATTCTGCTTTAAACATAAAACAAACAAAAAATAGCCATACAGATGGGCGGTAACCTGACCAATAAAATGCATTATAAAATGTATGTCAACTGACATGACTGAATGAAAACAGAACAACTGGATATCGCACTAAGGAAATATTTATGTGCTACAGCAGATTTAGAAGTGTCAGCTACAAGAACTGTGGAGAAGCAGTGAAGAAACAGCACTTTGATATACAAAACAGTAAAGCAGCACAATGCTTTAATTAGATGGCACACACATTCATTTCTGGGCACCAAATTATAAACAGGACAAAAGCTGAAAAAATTCTAAATTCACATTCAGAACTGAATAAGTAGCAATTAAAGGCTGAAAAGGTGCTTTTTTTAGTGACAAGAAAGAGCTGACTAATCACATGGGATAAACAAGGTCCGTTCCAGCAGCTTTGTTTTCCTTTCTCAAGCAGGGATAAAAATAGAAAATCTTAAGTTTTAACTGACCAGGATAGCTGGGACTGCTTAAGAGTAGAGAGCTACACTATATCATTATATTCATGACACTGTGATCACTAAAGAATCAGACAATTGTAATAATATTATCCCTATACAACTCCACTGCATTAGAGTTTTTGTACAATTAAAACCTCTTTGCTTTCCAGATTTCTCTGTATTGTGATTGCAACTGCAAAGGTAATTCTATTTAATTTTATGCATCTGAAAATCCATTATTTCTATGCAGCTCTCTTAGCTTTAAAAGAGTTGGTGAAATGTAAGAAGAATGTGATAAGCAAAGTGTGCAGATGCACAACAGTTCTGCTCCGGCATGACTTTTGCTTTTTTGAAAATGTGTTTATCACCCTACTGCTAATGCAGGCATCGTCTGACCTCAACACTTTTTTGTTTGATATTTGGTTTTGTTTTCACCTACTTATACTGGACAAAAGTACACTTTTACAGAGTCTGTCAAAATGCATACACACTATTTCCCGGCAAGGTACATTTGCACTTCAGTGAACAGGATTAAAGATGTCTCTTCTTCACTACCCAATAATTTTGTATTAAGTGTCACTGGCTTAGGAAAGTCAAATAGTAGGTAACAGTACTGACCTGATCATACTCCGAGGCTCCAGGGTACAGTGGCCACCCCAAAAACAACTCCGCAATCACACAGCCCAGTGACCACATATCAATTGCTTCACAAAAAGGAAGTCCTAGAATAATCTCTGGTGCCCTGTACACAAAAAAGAATGACACTGTTGTATGTATTCAAATTAAAAGACCTAGACCACTTCAGAAAAACCAAATACACCAAGGAAGGATCAAAAATCTGTAATTAATATTACTTATATTATTAATTTTGAACTGTGGTCATTTCACATAAAAGCATCTGTTTGTACAAGGGACTTGTCCTGTGACGTAAAGATTACCAGATCACATGCAGAACATGCCACTGAGTGCTGCTATATGATACCAGTAGAGTAGGAAGATGGGGTGGAAATTTGACTGATACAAAACTAATCAGTGCATGTTTGGAAGGGTTCTTTGTCTGAAGACCCTACATGTTGAACCATATTTTACTTGTGGGACATCTGTAACAAAAATGACCTCAGGTGACCAATGTGGCAAAATCCACTATACAAAGCAATCTCATGTTTTCCCTCTAACAGCTCCTTCATCATTTTTAATACATATTCGAAGCTGCTATGCAATAAACATCGAACAGCACAGCAGTTCCATGGTGTGCATTCTGGACGCTCAGGCTTACCGGTAATAGCGGGACTGTAGATAGGTAGAGCAAACGGCCTTGGACACATGGCTTGCTGAGCCAAAGTCAATGACTTTGACGCGATAAGGCTGTCTCACAGGGTCCACCAGCATGATGTTCTCTGGTTTAAGGTCAGCGTGGATCAGCCCCAGGCTTTTCAGCTTCATCAGGGCCGTGGCCACTTGCTGCAGGATGGGTCGAATGGACTTCAGGAGCAGGGGGCTAAACTTGCTGTGTTTGAGGAAATCGTACAGGTTCTGCTCCAGCATTTCAAACACCAGGCACGTGTGGTTCTTATGCTGGAAGCATTCGTAGGAGCGCACAAAGTTGAACTCATCGGCATTTTCTGTGCTCAGCCGGTTCAGGATGCTTACCTGAAAGAGGAATTTACTGATTAAGAACATCAGACTAACATCATCATTAAGAACATCAATGTCAGGACTTTGTCACCATTTCAGATTGCATACAGCTCTATGGTGATTGGTACTCTTGTGCTACGCAAGTCATTTTCTACATTCTGAGGAAGACTGAGTCTCCTAAACAGTTCCATCACCTTAGGGCTTTAAGAAACTAACATTCTTCCTTGGTTGCCTAGTAAGCACAGTGGTTCGATGGTACCTTGACAGTCATGGGAATGGAGAATAGGTATTTCTCCATCATCATTTTGAGAACTAACCTGCATTCTGCATATCTTAAAACAAAGAACTGATTCATGGTCAGACGATGTACTTTATCCCCTCTGATCAACCTTGTGTCAAACTTCACATCAAACACCCTCCACTCACCTCAATCTGACCCTGCCGGGCATATGAAGGATGGTTCTTCAGAATCTTGATGGCGACAATCTCATTGGTGCCACGCTTCCAGCACTTGGCTACCTGCCCGAAGGTGCCGCGGCCCAGGAACTCCAGCACCTCGTAGCTGTTGGTGACAGAGCACAGGATCTCGTGCTGCACCAGCTGGTAGTCCCCTTCGCTGTTGGAGCTGCTGCTCTTTGTCGTAGAGGTGGAATGGGTTATGGACTGTGTGGTGGTGACCGTGCCAGTCCTGTTGGAAACCACCGGCGCTGAGAGCTCCTCCAAGATCTGCACACTCCCACTCTTGTCAACCTCCTCGCTCTTGCGCTTCAGGCCATATTTCTGATAAGCGTCGCGCAGGGCGACATCGTTGCCGCGACGACTGGAGGGCCCCGAGAGGCTGCCAGTGCTGTCGGCGGCTCGCACAACAATTTGCCCACGCGACCCTCCTGCAGGTGGAAAGAGGAGGCTGGCAGAGCTGTAAGTTGTGACGGGGACATTAAAGCTGGCAGCAGGGGCAGAGGAGTCCTCCTGGGAGTTACTCAGAGGGTAGAATTTGTTTTCCCCCACTTGCCCTGTCACTTCCCACGCACAGCTCTCGACCTTCAGCTTCTTCACCCGGCAAAAGGCACTGGACGACACCGAAGGAGGGGAGAAGACTTGAAGCTGAGAAGCCATACCTGGGGCAAAAGAACAGGAAAATACAGTGTCTGTGATCCACACCGATCCTGAAAAAAAGAGGCCTCAGTGCTAGCAGAAACCCTAAAATGCATGTTATGACTGCCTCTTTTACACATTAAATTTCAGACAGCTCTGTTTTTTTGTAGAATTTTAATTGTAGAAGCTGTGATTTAAAACACTGACACAAACATTTCAAACAACAGAAGGGCTGAAAACGTGCAATGGGGTTATCCTGATATCACCATTGTCCTATATAACAATTTCCCTAAAAAAGGTGCACTTAACATGTAATTCCTTAGAAGACTCGGTCGCTCCATCAGTGACGTAATGAGCCTGCGCACTTGTGCAGTGGGCGGGGGGGTCAGAATTGGACTGGGCTACTCTGCTAAGCAAATGGCAAGGAGACGAAAACAAAGCGATGGGCTACGAGTTTCAGTGACGCAGTGGTTTAGGAAAATAAGCAATATCGCAAAGTGAACGAAACCCTTAAGACAGCAATGTTAAAATGAGAACTCGAATCCTGCCGTTTGCTAATTGATTTAAACCATACGTAGTTCATGGAGAAATAATTAATCAATGCAGTCTTGATAGTTTATGAAAGCATCGTTCAGTTAATCTCACCGCAGATACTGGAAAAAGCTATAGCTTTGTTACCACTAATAAAGGGTGAGTTATAAGGTTGCTAATATCTTATCATAAAAAATAACTAACTCTACTTACTGTCAATTCATATCAACTGTGGATGGAAATCAAAGCAGAGACCGAAGTAAAGGAATCGAAACCCTTTTCAGAAAAAAACATCTTCGCCTGCAAAAGAAGGCGAGTTACTCTTTTTTCCTCCCGTCAGAAAAAAAAATCAAAGAAACAAAAAACTGTATATTTGTATCAAATTAAACAAAAAATAAATACTTTCAGTACCTGGATATGTGTAGTTAGTCTTCGTCTTCATATCTCAGTGATTTGTGCGGCCAGGCCGAATTATCGGAAACAGGCCGTCATTGTTTTCTCTGTTTTTCACTTTGCGAATGAAGTAACTCCATCCATCCACTTTGGAAACTGTCCATCACACCTCCGAGTACTGCAGATTGCGTTTTATACTCAAAGTGTACTTTAAAAAAAAACAAAGAAACGATCTCTTTAACAATGTAAATGTAAACACCTAAGACCCAGTGAAAAATCGCTTGCAATGCAGCACAGGAAGAGGATTAGACTTCCGAGTAAGAATTAAAGCGCCCACTTCCACGTTACCGTAAAATCTAGAAAGCAAGGGCACACAAAACAACTACGCATAGTAGGTACAGTAATCTGGTGTTACATGGTATAGAAACTATAGAAAGTGAAAAATAGTTTAAAACACTTCTCCGGAGACATTGTAATACGGCTTCTTTCTTTCTACCTCGAAGGTTTCTTCAGCGAACGTTAATATGATATTTAATGCGTGCTTCAGCCATAAAACATTTTACCCGTACTGCATTTTAACTGTTTACGTTTGGGATATTCTTAACTCTCATCCTGACCAGCACCAATCTAATATAATTTGCATTACTGGTCTTTTTAACACCACATTCAAATGTATAATTTAGATAATATTTTCTGTCGTAGTTTATTTGTAACATCCTAAAATATGTCAAATACAATTTTAATACAGTTGCAACCCAAGATAAAATAACATACATTGTATCTCTACGTATCGTGATCCAAGAAGGTCTTTAGTTCTTGTCATACTTTGAACTCTTCATATAAAGTAAAAATAGTCAGCATCCATATACATCCAATATACTGTAGTTTCTGATGTTTATATTTTAATTCTGTAAAAATATTATAAAGGTTTATAATAACATAATAGGGAGAGGTCTTGCTTGCATCTCTTCTTACACATAAGGTAGCTCTTAGGATCTGCGCCTGTGGCTGGAAGGTTGCTGGTTCAAATCCTGCAGCCAGCAGAGAAATCCTACTCCGTTGGGCCCCTGAGCAAGGCCCTAAACCCCATCTGCCCCTCTGTCTGTCAGTGTGTCTCATGGAGAGCAAGTTGGGGTATGCGAAATAGACACATTCCTAATGCAAGAAATTGTAGATGGTTAATAAAGTGATCTTATCTTATAGTAACTGATTCATTCCTATTTTTCACAACTCTTACAAGTTTAGATGCTCAGGGTTTGTCTTGTGCTTTTACTGTTGTCTGTTGAATTGTTTAATGAATTTATGTAGAATTTATGTAGACCATCCTACCCTACAAACTCGAGGACAGCAGGGTTTGATGACTTCTTACCCTGGAGGTATTCTGATCAGTCTATGTCCCTGTTCTCACTTATGGATACGAGCTATGGGTTGTGACCGAAAGAATGAGATCACAGGTTCAAGCAGCAGAAATGAGGTTTCTCCATGGGGCTGCTGGGTTTACTCTCCCAGGGTGAGAAGTTTTGCAGTCTGGGAAGACCTTGGAGTAGAGGACAATCACTGCTTCTCTGGATTGAGCAGAGCCAGTTGAGGTGGCTCAGCCATCTGGTGATGATTCCCCGATGCCCCCCCCAGGCAACTCCCACTGGACGTGTACCACCAATAAGGAGACCCCAGGACAGATTTTGGACACACTGAAGGGATTATATCTCTCTTCTGGTCTGGGAGTGCCTGAGAGCCAGGAAGAGCTGGAGACTCTTGCTGGGGGAAGGGAAGTCTGGTCTGCTCTGCTCTGCCCTGCCTGTTACCACTGCGACCCTCACCAGGAGCAAGTGATTAGAAAATAATGATGATGATGATTTTGTGTAATATTTGTATTATAAGTGATTCAGAGAAAATTAACTAAGCTGTGTGTGTGTCCCATTCTATTACCGGTCCTAGGTATGAGAGACACCAAAAGCCATTCTGCTTAGGGGTAGGTAGTGAAATGGTATTCCCAGCTCCCCTCTTTACTGGGCAATAGACAGGAATTGAATCCCAGAACTGGGTAGAATCACACCATCCGCGTCACAGTCCTTAATGATGCTGTCACCTTGCTGATAGTGCTGTATTTGCACTTCGCTAAAATATATGACCATGTCCTGTCTCTGAAATGTTGGATTGCTGCTCTCTTTTTATTCAGAATTTTATTCTGAACAGTTTTTTATATTTCAACTTGTTTGATTTTTGTTTCTGTTATTTAAATCTCAAATCTAAATCAAAATGCCTGGTAATTGCATTCAGATTAACATAGCAAACACTTAAAACCTGTCTACATAAATCGATATGTTTAAAAACATATCTCATATCTCTTTTTTTTTTCAACTGGAGAAATAACGATAAAAAGTCAAAATAACCACAAGGGGGATAACATCACTTAGAAACAGCATTTGATGTTGTTTGTGGTTAGATTATATCTGGTCTGAGTTATTTTAAAAGCTACAATGCCTCTGCGGTAATCTGTCCCTGCTTCTAAATGTTATTATGCTCATGCATTGTGCTTTAATCTTCACAGTTATAAAATGGTAACTTTCACCTTTGTAATATGTGCAGAACATTAGCAAGGCAAAAATCCTAAGTAAAAATGTTATCCTATTTACAACATACAGAAATATTAGTATGTCTAATATGCTTAAAAATTAAGTACAAGCTTCAAGCCACTTTCTCTTTAAGTATCTGGTCAGTTCCATTTTTCATCCTTTTCATGTCTCATGTCCTCTGTCACACATTACTGTTAAAGTCTGTGATGCTTTTCTGGAAATATAAGCTTTTTTCCTCTCCTTACTAAATGTGCTCAGAGGCCAAAGTTAACATATTATGGTTGTGCACAATTCTTTCACACGTTTTATAGCCATGTAAAGGAAATGACCGCTTGGGAATGTCCAGAAAGTTGCTCCAGGGACCAATCACAGCAGTGGGACAGAGGAAAAAGTGAGAAAATGGCAATCCCAGATGTGAAAAGACTCCTCCCTCTGCATTTGTGAAAACATTCCTGCTGAGAGAGAGCCAAAGTGTTTTCCAGTTCCAGAAGTGGATTTTTTCAGCCATACACACCCAGCCAGCTGTGAGTACTGCACCAGAATCCACGCTCTTCTGGAGTGATTGTTGCCCTTCTTCCCCTCAGGCAGGACCATGGCTGTACCATCTCTTCTTCTCTTCACTGCTCTCCTCAGCCTCTCCTGTGCTCAGCAGCAAGCGCTGCTGGAATACCTAGAGAGGAGACTCTTAGCCATAGAGGTAAGTTCCCAGTTTGGTTCCCCAGCTATGCCCTGCACTCCTATGAGTAGTGTTTTATTTCAACATCTTGGCTAAGCTTTCTGAAGAAATCCGAACATACAATGAAACACAGATGTGAGAACGTGGAAAGAAATCTATTTACTCCGTACTGCATGGTTGAACTTTCATGGCAAGATATTAAACGGCAATCTGAAGATGTTGCGTAGATAACAGAAATAAATGGAGAGTTATTATTCCTACAATGAATGAGATCTGATTTACACAGACTGCTTTCAAAGATATCCTACTCCAGCAGACTATTTATGTGCATAAGAAAGTCCTGCTTTTTACTTTGTTTTGCTAACTTTGCTGTGTTGTATATCTGTATCTAACCTCTCACTGAATCATTTGGAAAGCACATTAGAAGCTTGTGTTTCTAATGTTCAGATTTGTGTGACAGTAAACTGATTTGGAATAAGATCACTCTTATTTTTTCATTTCGTTTTTTCCCTTTTCAGGCCTTCAGATGCAATTAATGTAGAAGTATCCCCCCCAATACACGTGTTATTAACTTAATTAAGGAGGTATCTATTTTTATAGGATAAAATATGTTGTACAGCTGTTCCCAATTTATTCTATAACTTCAGACAATGTTCTCACAGAATTAGCTTTAAACTACAGTACTTTATTTTTAATGCCATTTTTTTGTTTAGTGGTTACAACATTTTCTTTTACACATGAACTATTTATAGACTAGTATAAATATTGATTAATAACTTACCTCCTATGAATGAATCACTTTCAACTTGAAGAAATTATGTGTTGAATCATTAAGCAAGATCCACGATTTCTTGTATTGGTTATGAAATTTATGGATGATTACTACACTTTAATTTTCTAAGTACTTGTTCTTTGACTTGAGGTGTTTCCATTTCATTCTGAGCCGATAGTAACCTAAATCATCTCTTTTATGAATAAATGTGGCCAATTACCTCACTGTTCTTGAAGCTCTAGTGCTTTAGGGAAGACAAAGAAATCCTGCAGATACATTGACCCTGCAGGACCAGGACTGGAGACTCCAGTTTTAAGAAACAGACATTACGTACACATTTACACTCTGCAAATGCAGTGTAAATGCAGTGACATCACACAGTGGAGATGTGCTGATGGGTGTAACGGGTACAAATAATGAGGTGCATTCATGAACAGAGTAGTAGTGACCACAGTGATGTGACTCGGATGACAAAGCACAATTCTTTATGAAGGAATCACGGTATAGATGTATTGTGTAATGTACATTTTTGTAATATGTGAAGTATTCATATTTGTAGTATCCTATTTGTAGTTTTATATTAATCATGTAATGTATAGCAAAAGTAAAACATTCTACTTTATTTCATATGAAAGGCTTTTAAATTTGTCATCTCCAAGTTATCACATTTTTCAAAATTACTCAAGAGTTTTACTTTACCTTTGAGCTTGACTGCATCTACAAGCACTGACATACAGTACTTAGAGTATTTCCCTATGGATTTACACTCCCAATCAAAAATAAAGTGATTATTTCAATAATTATTTAGACAATATGTTGCTGAACATTTCGCTTCTAAAAAGGCTAATTTCACAATGTAGTCATCTGTCATAATAGGAAAAAGCACTGGGCCCTGTCTCTTAAAGGTGTTTTATAAAGTATTCACATATGATGTAACCCCACGAAGAAAGATAAAATATACATTGACAGTAATAAGTAAACCATGTAGTCTTGACCTACTCCACCCAAGGAGCTTAATCTCTATAAGCAGTAAAATAAAGTCTTGGACACATGGTGGTTTTATCGTGAAAGAAAGATTGAAATAATAAACATGTAGGTAAACTCTTGGAAGTATATCTTGGCTCCTTAATCATTTAATTCTCTCTTTCCCTGTTAGTGGTACTTGCATTCCATTTTATCTTTTTTCTATACATTTTTAACAGATACAAAATTCACATACTGTACGGACAAGCAGAAGTCAAAAGAGATGGTTCTTCTCAGAAACTACACCATTTTTGTGCAATGCTATTCTTAAATGTGCACTTCACCAAAGGCCTTGCTGTACTCTTGAAATAATTTTTAAGGTTCCAAGTTCTCTTTGTTATTTTTATGATATGGCCTTAATTTAAACTTTGTTTTAAACGGAACAACGGGTGATTGTTTTATGCTATTAATCTCTCATCAGAGTTTACAGATGAAACTGGCCCCAAAGCTGTCACAACGCAGAATTTTCTGCACTTCTCCTGTGTAGCTTTGAGTCACTTATGTATACATATGTTTAATGTTTCTCTTGTAGTTAAATGATAAGGACAGACAGAATTTCACCAGAATTCAGAAGTATGCAATCACATTTAAAACAAGTTCATTTAAAATATGGTAACTAATCTGGGATGTGATAAAGACCTATTGACTGTAAATAATTTAAAGGGAGATATGCTGGTGGGTGAAAATATCTGAGCATGTAATTAAAGCAAGAGAAAAAAATAATGTTGAGATGACACGATCACTTAATGGAGCAAGTCTTTCATGCATGCAGTGCAAAGTTGTTTAGATGAAAACCTGAAAACTAAAAACAGATAAAGCATCATTTATTTGAAGAGACCTCCCCTCTCCCTCCTTCTCTCTCCCTCAGGATCGCATCTCCCTGTGGCACGATCAGACTAACCGTTACGCAACGGAGCTTCGCGAGTTCAAGCAGCAGATAGTGGGCCTTCTGGAGAACGTGGAGAAGGAGCGCGAGGGGCTGCGCAGTGACCTAGAGAACACCAACACGCGGGTGGACCGTATCGAGCGAGAAATGGACTACCTGGAAACACAGAACCACTCACCGCCCTGCGTGGAGGTGGATGAAAAGCTGGTAGAGCAACAGGTGACCAACGTGAAAGAGAAACAGAAGGACAAATACGACAAGCTCACGGGTAAGCAAATCTAAATGCTGGGTAGTATAATACCTCTCACTTTAAAAAGTGAATCAATTCTACTAATACTGCATTTAAAATCACAAGAAATTGCAGGAGGGAATTCAGTGCATCTCATTATGATGGTTGCTAATACAGTACCTGAACTGATCCAGTAATTTTGCCTTTTTTTAGAGATTCCATGTGTTTTCCATGTGTCCATGTGTATTGGATTCCACAACATGTGCAAACACTCTGCATTTAAAGGATATGTGCATCCTCTTCTCACTCTTAAAACTTCTAGTATTAATTCCATTTGGGTTCAAGTGCTGGCCTTTTTTTTGGCAGGATGTTGTATAGCCAGGTCAAATCACCCTGATGTCTTGCTTCCAAATTAATGGAGATTCCTTAAATGATCTGTGTATACAGTATCATGATTCTTTTATTTCTCTCCATTAAATCTGTTCTTGGAGAGCCTTTGTTGAAGTATGCAACTTGTTTTCTAAAGTAGCTCCTCACAATGGGAACACTAGAAAGTTGTGTAGGTTAAACGTTACTTCACCTGATTCGTTTTCAAAGTTCCTAATTCAACTGCACTGTTTGATTTTTGTTTCCCACACTGTTTGGAATACAGTCAACATCAACACTTGGTCTTTTTCTATTTCTGTAACTCCTTGTTATATAATTCATACTTCTTGTTTTTATAAAGGGTTGGGCTCTTTCCTTCTTCGTGTGCTTTTCCAGTGCATGGAAGAATAACAGCCTTTGAAGCTTAGGCTTCACTCTTAACATAAGACAGGGAATCTGTGATATAAAAGAGTCACATTGTGTTTTTAAGATGATTCTGCTATTGCTTTTAAAGATCTATATATTTAATTATTCATATTCTCAGCCATACTCCAATTGCCTCTTCTGTAAGTTATGATCTCTATCATCATTGTTGCAGAACACTAATGTGTGACAACTTTTTAAACTCATAAACTGTGGCAAAAAGTGAATCGTTTGCCATACCCTACTACTTGGACTTTAACTGATTATGTCTACAAAATTAATCATCAGCAATTATGTTATATACACAAAGCTTATACCACATAAATCATCTTATTTCTTTAATCAGTCAGGAATGGACTGTAGATAAACAAAGTGTGATTTGAAGATGATCATTTATGTGCATCAGGGCATTGCATGTGTGATTTACAGCTTAGTTGGAATTTTTCAGTTCACACGTGTTTTCCTCCCCTAGATTGCAGGGATATGATATCTAGCATCAAAGCCATGAAGATCTTAAAGAGAATGGGAGGCCCCAAAGGCACGTGGACAAAAGACACAAAGACGGCATCTGAAAAGGTGTACATCTTTAATGGCACCATGGGTGAAACACTGTATGAGTTCAGCACCATTCGTGAGTTCACATCCTCATCAGGCATCTCCAAAGCAAAGCAGATAAAGCTGCCCTTTCCCTGGGGAGGTATGGGACACATAGTCTATAATGGATATGCATACTATGTGAAGGAAGGAAAGGAATTCCAGGTGATCAAATATGACTTGAAAAATGAAACAGTGGTGGACAGCGCAGTATTCCCAGCTGAAGAACAAGTCCCAGTCTACGGCCTTTCTCCGGAAACCTACATAGACCTTGCAGCAGATGAAGAGGGGCTGTGGGCCCTGTATGCCACCAAGGAGAACGAAAAAAATATCTGCCTGGCTAAGATGGACCCCAGGACACTTGATATTGAACAGATGTGGGACACGCCATGCCAGAGAGAAAACGCTGAGGCTGCGTTCGTCATCTGTGGCACAGTGTACGTGGTTTACAACACCAAGCTGGCCAGTCGCTCCCGGGTGCAGTGCGTCTTTGATGTCAGCGACATGGTGACCAATGAGGATGCCCCGCTAGTGTACTTCCCCAAACGCTATGGTTCGCACTCCAGCCTGAAGTACAACCCTCGGGAGAAGCAAATCTATGCCTGGGATGATGGGTATCAGATCTTCTACAAGCTTAACATGAAGAAAAAACTGGAGGTGTGAGATACGTTGATCCTTTTAGTTCTGATGTCTTCAGCTTCTTGTTTATAGAGAAATGTCTTAACAATCAAACTAAAAGCAATAAGAGGTGTATTTGTACTTTTAATGAACCCGTCACTCCCAAATTATAATCTGCTCCATGATTTTCCCACAGTATGTATTGGTCTTTTTTGAGGACTTTTGTGGCCGATTGCTTGAATGCCCATTATGATTAACAGGACTGTTTTGATGCAATAAAAAATATTTCACAGCAGATCATGGAAGTAACAGGTGGCACAGTGATATAACAGTTTCCTCACAGCTCTAGGTTCTGGGTTACAATTCGGTCCAGGATGCCTTTTATGTGGAGCTTTTATTTTATTCTTGTACCTGTGTAACTTTTTATTCTCAGTCCTTAGACACACCATTTGTGTTCACATGTGTGTGTCTGGCCTGTGATTAAGCAGTGTCCTTTGGAAGGTACTGTATAGTCCTACCTTGGACTCTACAGTATGTCTGCAAGGTTAGGCTGCAACTCATTGTGATAAAGAGCTCTCAAGGAAATCGAATAATGGCTAATGCAATTTGTTTTCTAAACCCAACTCTCACTATATTCTGTGCCTGCCATTTTCACAAATGAGAAGAAAAAGACTAAATTTTATCTGGAAATAATCTGAGTTATGCTATTTAAATCAGCCAGTGAAGTGGAAAAAGCAATATAAATGTTAAAATTATTATGCAGATTAGTTGCACTTAAGGTTTTATACTTTAAAGGATCATTTAAAAATAATTCCAGATGCATTAAAAATAACAATTTATACTTTTTTTCTTATAGTGTAATGGATATCATTTATTTTTTTGATTGAATACAGTATTTACACTATTATCTACTATGTTTGCTCAATCATTAGTCCTATTTTTCCACAATCTGTAGCAGTACATTTTCTTTTCTTATGTCTATTTTGACTGATTGATTTTGACTGATATTTGAACAGATATTTTCTAGGACATATTAATGTAGATCCTGAATTTTTATGTAATTTCAACCAGTTGTGTATCATTCAACTTCAATCTTTAAACACCCTGTATATTTCTAAAATTAGAGCACCTCTAGAAATTAAAATGTATTTTGTTAGGTCAATAGGTTCTGTATGTCAAAGTATAACATGGTTTTTGTATATTCTTCCATGTTGTATGTGATTAGTTAACACCGATGGAGTATTAGTTTCTGATTCTATAGTGTATGTTCCAAAATGTCATACAAAATAATAAAAAGTTAATTTTGCTACTTTTATCTTGAGTTGAACTTCAAAATAAAGCACACTGGAATTTGATTGAAAGACTGAGCAAAATATTATATGTATATTAAACATACTGTAGGATTACAGAGCATGATACTACTAACAACAACAATCAGGATTAAAACCTAAGCATAGAAAGTATACAATTTCATATAAAAGACACTTAAAACTGTAAAACTGCATTGCTACAACACGAAGCCCCTATTGTTAAAACGATGTAATGTTTGGCTTTGGGAACAATTCTCTAAAATTAATGGATTCTTGTCAAAATATTGGGAAAACTTATAGAAAAAAAGATGAGTGCTTTAGAAGCCTGTTTTTTTAATGCAACCACATGAACTCTGACTACTGATTGGGACAAGGTGTAATAATAATTCCTTACAGTTATATAGCGCTTTTCTGGACACTCCACTCAAAGCACTTTACAGGTAATGGGGACTCCATCAGCACCAGTGTGCAACTCCTACCTGGATGATGCAACAGCAGCTATAGTGTGCCAGTTTGCTCAACACACACCAGCTAGCTCTCAATGGGGAGGAGCAGAGAGTATTGAAGCCAATTCATACATAGGGATTTCTAGGAGGTCATGATTGTTAAAGGCCAGGGGGCAATTTGGCCAAGATGTCTGTTAGCCTGCTTACCTGCTTAGCTTCAATGAGTTGCTAGTTGTGAGTTGCAGGGTGATATACAGTAGGTGCCATATAAATTATTACTATGTATAGTATTAGTATTATGGCTTTGTTTACTCCTAGATATTGAAAGCGATATTTCATTATCTTTTCAAACTATAATCATCACTGCCTGTTTAAAGCTAACCTGAACTTGAATTTATCAGAGGGATCACATACTGTATATGGTAAAGTCCACTTTTTTAGAGCGGTGTTAAAGTGTTAAAAAGAACAAGCTGTTCCGAGAGTGTGTTGGTCTCTTAGGATTTGGCTGTAACATTCATATTTTTAAAGTCATATTTTTAACAAGATTACCACCTACTCATAAACCTCATATTGAAACATCTCATATTGGACCTCATACTGAAACACTCAAACACTGGCATGAATGAAATCTAGCTTTGCTGCTTGGCAATACATTCTAGTTTTAAAAATCATTGACATAAATTGGAAGCATGCACAGGATTTCTTTGTGCCAGTATAACTAATTACTAGTCATCTCTTCATATTTGCAGGTAATTACTGTAAGCACAATGAAACTCAGTTGTGATTTCCTGAATTGGCATACTTTCTGAAAAGTTCTGGGAATTTAGAATGGATTGTGGTCAAAGCTACAAGACAAATACGGCACTAGAAAAGCTATAGTTATCTTGCTGATTATATAATAGGGATTCTAGATATTACAGGACTTCAACACGCTTGCAGTTTTTCATTCTACATTTGGAAAATGTTAACGAAGATAAGAATAATAACATGCTTAAAAATACTAATGTTCCCTATGCTTAAGAGAAGAAAAAAAGAGTAGTGTAAAACTGAGACTATCAACATTAAAGGACAGGTTCTTAATTATTCTTTTTTCTTATTCTTTATTCTTAATTATTCCAATTTACATTATTATATAAGTTGCTTTACGATAAGACCAAAAGTGCTGTAAATATCAAAGATTTGGCTTTTTGAAAAAAGTAATGCTTTAAATAAACAATGCTCCCTTCTACACAATCATAATTGTAATTATAATTCTTATAATTATAATTCTTGGATTTAACAGAAAACAAACAAAGTGTGCACACAAACTACTGTCTTTCTTTCTTTTAAACTAGGCGATTGACTGAATCATTAAAAGGGCAGCATCCACTGCATCCTAGTAGGAGAAATGCGCACACTCTATGGATCATTCAGATCTGCTCAGTCTGTCTGCAGACTGATGATTCCTACTGTAAATGCTGTACGTATTATTAGTCAAAAATTATGTTCCTATTTCGAAATGGGTTATGTAAAAAAATAACAATAGTGACAAACAAGAGGTGGCCTTTTGGTACTTTAGGTGTATCATATCTGTTATTATTTATGTGTTATACTCATTATTTTGGTCAAGGGTTCTCAATCTGACAATGAAAAAACCCCGCCGAAACACTCTATTAGAACTTGGAAGGTTTATTTGTTACATTTCCCTATCCTTAAAACATAGGGAAAGGTTTAAAACATATATAGATACAAATAGAAATTTTCAATACAAAACTGGAAATTACTCATTTGCATGAATTCATGGAAGAAGAAAAAAAAACATTAGGAACAGTATAAACACTGGAGCACAGTTAAACAATCTTGAACAGAAACAAAGCCAAATTATTTAAGCCAATTGAACCAGCTACAGAATTTCTGCTACAATGACTTAACAGAGGAACATTATCAAACACCATGTACTGTAGGAAACAATTAAAAAGATTATCGTGACATTGCAACTTGTCAAATTCTGTGTGAACTGAAAGTTACAGATAAAGAGTTGAAAAATTCCATAATTGTTATGTTGCACAGATCATCCTGTATACATGTGTATACATTTTAGTATATAATGTAATAAAGAACACTAACACGTATTTTAAAATAAGTACTCCATCTTTTTTAAAGTGTAGAACTGACAATTGTTTGTGACCCTTTCTGCTACAGTCTGGAAATGTACATAAACAGACTACTTGTTTCATATTAAAATTCAAGTGAACATTGATCACTTCAGCTAACTGGAGATGTCTCCCTGACTATTTCATTTTCTCTAAGTGGCTGCCTATTTATAGATATCACAGTAGAAAGCTGATGGCATCTGCACATCCGGGAACGAAAAAAGGTGTCTAAAGTTGTCCCAGATTAGATGGGGCAAACAACCTTGACTTTGTAGCCTCTCAGCAGCCATAGGGACAGCCCTTAATTATTGAGGGACTACTGGAATGGATCTGGGGGGAAAAGTAACGTTTTCTGACTTTTTCATAGCTAAGGCTAAGCTGAGTAATTCATGTAGTTCTGTGCAAAGTCAAGAGGTGCTTCCTTCCTGTATGCACCCCTTGCAATGTGAAATGATGTAAACTAATTGAAAACATTTACAAAGAATCTTATGCAAGTCTGACTCTCATAGCTTGATTTGTGAGCTCTGTGGAGCACCTATTTCTGACTCTTCTAACACTAACACCTCCAACCTTCCAAAATATGAGTTGATTTCATTTTTGCAATATTACAACTAAAAATGTACAAATAACACTATCAGCATACCAAGTTGCAGAAGCCAGGACATTACAGCCAGATGCCAGAAAAAGGTTAATATTGTGCTTCAGCTTGTTGTTGTACAAAAATATGCAAAAGACAGAAAAATCTTTATTTCTTTTTTTATGAGGGGGTTGCATCTTGCTAGATACCCACCCATTCAAAATATTCAGTTTGCTGCAAAAGAGTTAGAAATACAATTTGGTATTTGTTGCTTTTGAAAATATCTGTTGAAATCATTTGATTGTGGTCAAATAAAGAAATGATACACTCTGGTGTTAATTTGTTTCTTAACTCCAAACAGGAAATCTGCAGTATAATGTGATTGTTCTTCATTCCTTTATACATGAGGTGACTCTACAACTCCTCATTTAAAATGGCAACATGGAGACCCATGTATAAAGCAGGGCATTTGCTAAACAATCTGTGTGAGGTTTTGCAGAATTTGGACCAATTACCCTCTAGCTGAGTAACCAGAACCCTAACCACTCCTTTATGCTGTGTATGAACTGCTGTGCTTCATAGAGTAAATGGAAATGTCCTACTATGCACTCATGCCTGTGTCACAATAGGCATGATCAAATTGAAGGGTTTCTTTTTTATCTCAAATCCCTGTCATTCATGGCATTTTTCATACAAAAACAGAACATACTAGTGGAATACCTCATTTGTGAAAAGGTTTTTAGCAGAACACCATAGGGAATGGCAGTATCTCCACTCTTCAAAGGATACAGAAAACAGTAGCATACTTTAGATGTTATCTAGGGTGAGACTGATGATAATAGAAAACAAAAACAAGAAGTATCATATGCAATAAAATAATTAATTTACAACATAATACATTTAAAATGGAGGCATTGACCTAGACGATCAGATGCTTAGTAAAATATTGCTAGTAAAAATAATAAAGTATAGACAGGGACACATCTTTTTAGATTGGAAACTGGAGAAACCATCAGCGTTATCCTACAAATTTATTAAAACTCATTAATTGAACCACCAAACTGATATTTTCCTTGAATACAATTTTTTTAAGAATAAGAATGTGAAAGGCCATATTATGTTCTCTCACTTGGTAATTATGTTGTCTTTCTGAAATTGTGAAACTGTGATTTGGAGCAATTTGCTAAATCTGTTTGGACAATATTTTGTGTAAATTCCCAGTTTCTGTGCTCTATATCTAAACAGAAGCTCAGTAGTTTCATGCAAAGTGCAGAACAACAGGGCAGCATACTGTTTGTTGTAATTGCTTACAGCAGCAGCAGTATGCCTGACCACCCAAGATCAGGACCTCACAGTACAAGGATTATGAGTCTGTTTGGGGAGTCCAGAGATCAGAAACTTCAAGGAGAGGAATCAAAGGATACCATCCAGGGCAAATTTCAGATTCTGTGTGGGTCAGGCAAGTTGCTGGCCAACATGCAAAATGTCTAGTAATGAATTCCAGACAATATCTTTTGTTAAACTCTCAAAAGTATATGATAAGACTAACACTATTATTGAATCTATTAATACAGGTTTTCAATTTCAATTTTGACGGGGAAAAAAACACAACAGAGAATTTTGCTAACTAAATTAGGTCTCCTATGACAACCACAACAAGTTAGAAAGAATAAGGGTGAAGAAACCCGAGGGGTCCAGTGAATAAAACATTAAAACATGAGTGTTTATTCTATAAATCAGCAGTCCAGGGAATTTGCTTTCTTTGCTTTTAAAGTTTTATGAAAGGCTGTAAAGGAATGTCCTTAAGACAAGCAGACTGGAGTGGGCCCATAGAGGTGGAATTGGTAGAGAATGGATGAATGATCATCATCAAAGCAAATAAGTATGGTTTATTCCACAAGGTAAATAAATAAAAACTTGATTTTAAGGGCAGTTTAAGCAATACTGATTAAACCGATTAAAAAATAAGATTTAAAAATCTTACAGGGCATGCAAAAGGTAGCCAGATACAAAATGAGATCAAACACTCAGCACAAATTTAAAAAGACAATATAAATGCCAAGAGAGATCATGTGAATCGACATTGAGATCTCTTCTCAAAACACTACCCTCTGTTTTCTATATATTGAACAGATCTTAATCCTTGGGATTTTCACTTGGATTTCTACCTCTTTAGGTTTTAAAACGAACCATGTCTAGGGAACTAGATCACAAGAGTTTATAGAAATTTCAAAACAGCATCTTATTTTCTTTGTTTTGCATATGTTACTTTAATTAAAAAACTGTAGGTATGATGGACTAGTGCTTCCTTTCCTTAACTCATGTTGCCTGTGTGCTAAGACTGTTAAAAAGTTTTATTTTCCAGTTGAGTTGGAAATGACACTATACACTTACAGTATATGTATTTGAAGACTTTCTGATTTTTTTTCTCTCAACTGGTACTGGTTTTTCTTCCTTGCTTGTAGATGGACTTTACAATTTTCCACTTATGAGGTAAAGACCTGTGTCTGAGGTTTGCTAAACAGAATTTGCAGGAAGCATGTTTATGAAATGTTTTCTCTAGGAAGATGACATGCATGTTCCAAGCATTACTGGGCTCCTTATACCTTCTGTTTCCATTATGTTGAGGTTATTTTTACCTCATTTGCTTAGACCTTAGCGAGCATGTGGACACAACACATAAGCAGATATATTACTACTTTTGATCACCTACACTTAATTATTATCTCTCAGACATTTCCTTTCTTAGCCATTTTGTTTTGCTGTCAGCTACAATGGTAATTTCCTGTGTAGTTCTAGTGTGTTTTGGGATTTCCCTGTGTCTCCATGCTATAGAAAAGACCATAAGTATTATAAAGAGCCCCATGCCTCGGAAATACATCACTCTGGCAACAAACTGGCATGGTACCTTTAAGTAATTACATTCATATGTATGGAAAATCAAGAGGGTTAAGTGTTTGTTTTAAAACCAGATAGGAATGATGAATGTATGTTTCTTGTAACCATGTCAAAATGCAATTGATCTCAGTCAGAAATTCCATCCATTTGTGTTGTCCTGTGACTCTTCAAGTTGGATGACAATTGACAAAGAAGGAATTGTCCTCAGACAAGAAGATGGCAAGAGTAGAGCAGTGTCTGCAAACCCACCCTGGCATGGTCCTCCTTCAGGGAGTCGATGGGGGCTTGGGTGAGGGGCAGGATCCCTGGCTGTCAAAGCTGGCGGTGCGACCCTGCCACTGAACAGCAAGAGAGCAGCAACAGTTACTGGCAATGAAAAGACAATGAGGCGGCGAAGAAGAGCAGCAGCACGGAGCAACTTGGGGGTACAAACAGAACCAGGACCCAAGACTGAAGAGCTTGTTATCTTACTTAATTACTTCCTTTATTGTCCAAAATGCAAAAAATATACAATCAGTTGTCAAAATGAGTTAAGTTAATAGCCATGGGAATGAAAGATAATTTAGTTCTATTGCTTTTGAATCTAGGCAATCTAAATCGATGCCCAGATGGAAGGATTTCAAATTCACTGTGCAAGGGGGAGGTCATGACAGCATCTTGTCTGCAAGCACAAATCAAACCAGACAGCAGGAGAAATAAATACCCTTTGGTATTATACCAAAAACTAATCTGAAACTGAATCTGAAATCAGTAAAACAAACCAAAGGTAATAAATGGTATTTTGCACCTTAGAGAATTAATACATCAATTGTAAATTATGGGCATTTTCAAAACTTGTTAAATCATGGACCCAAAAAAAAAAAACACTGCAGGACCAGTCTTTCCAGGTGCTTCCCTTAGTCCTGACCTAAACCACTATACAAGCTCAATCTCCATTGGCTCCTTTCTCCAGTAAGGCAATGCCCTCTCCCCTTCAGTTCTCAGGTTAGCCTGGGACGACGGCAGTAAAGGGCCAAGCTCCTATTCCTTTACTGCTGCTTCTCTCTAAGAGTTAGAAACAGAGCAGCACTTCCACTGGTTTTTGAAATGTGAAAAATAACAGCACAGTAACAGTAACTCTCCAATTCTTTAGGACTTGGTCTTGGAATTTTGTTCATTTTTATTAATTCATTTTGCAGTCTTTCCACATTGGATTGCAATAGTAAAGCTTTACTTTTGGACTTGGCATGCTAGTTTTGAGTGTACGGTATATACAGTATGTTACTGTATTGCCTATAGAGATAATTGAAGTTAAGGTAAATCCTTATATTTGTGCCGAATTTTTCACCACATTTTGTGCAGACATGAGTGTTAACTAGAAACCACAGACCTTAATTTGTTTATTCTTTGTTCTTAAAATTTCTTCCTCCCTGTTGACCATCCTTATATGTTTTCATCCTAACTGTTCTGTTCCATTAATTTTGTGATTTTTGTGATTCTTGTGATTTTTGTGAGCTCGCGGAAAAATACATTTCATTGCCAGCAACTACTGCTGCACGCCGTATTGTTGTGCATTTGATAAATAAACTTTGATTTGATTTGATTTTGATTTGATTTGATTTGATTTCATTCTCTGCTCTATGGCTTTCTACTATCATGCGCAATTTTTGGTTTCTCTTATGTGTATAGGCTTGTTCTCATACTTTAATTTTGTAGCTATTAGCTGATTTACGCTTTTGTTTCTGTACAGTATGTGTCTCAGTTCTTACACCACTAGTCCAGTTTGTTGCATTTCCTTCTTCAATTGGTGGTGTTAAAGCATTTTAACATACTAATGCTGTCTGTTATTCTTTTCTGACATAAATGTCAGCATTTGTGAGGGAAGGAGCTCTGTAAGAGCTCACCAACCTTTGTGGATGCAATGTTAAGTCCCATAAACTCAAGAAAAGGAAGGAGATGCAATACTTGAAATAAGTACTTTTCCATAACTGTCCAGTAAACAGAAGCTCCTTCTAGAGTATAACTAACCAAATATTTGTGCAGATGCTGTAAATGTAAATCAAAGCCTGAAGTTAAAAGGAGACGACATGCACAAACCTCTTTGACAGATTTCTTTGCTTCCTGTAACGGGTGCCAGTGAGCAATAGGCTTGCGAGGGTAGGCCAGCATTTCATTCCAGTGGTCCCTGCCGAGACCTTCAGCGTTGCTTCCCACACGGTTCACGCCTATTATTTCATTGTGTCCCACCCTACAGATAAATGGAGAAGGCTGGTATCCATGAATTGTTTCCATTAATTGTTAATAAGGTCTGGAGACAAAAAAGGCACAAAAAAAATTTCTTTGGAAATTCGAATTGACAATAAATGACGTGACAGAGAGGTTGTACAGTGGCATAATGGTTACCCTCGCTGCCAGCCGGGGCCATGGGTTGAACTGTGGGACCTGAGTTGCTAACTGTGTGGAGTTTGTATTTTCTTCCTGTGTTGGTGTGGGGGTTCTCCAGGTGCTTCGGTTTACTCCCACAATCCAAAAAACACACTAGTAGGTTCATTTGCTCCTGGAAAAAACTGGTGCCGGTGAGAGTGTGTGCCTGTGTGTGCCCTGTGACAGAGTGGCCTTGCTGGGATAGGCTCCTACACTCTCAAAATGCTACAAAGAGCATTCGAAAGCTACAGTATGAAGGAGAGGTCAGCTAATATTGCATGTCTGGTGGCGAGCACTTGAGCAGTCTCTCAGGCACCCAGCTGGTTTTGGAAGAGTCCTATGGAATGAGCCATATAAGTTTGTTCAAACACCCGGTCTAAGTTTAAGTCTGAGCCCCAATTTTGAGATCAGAAAGCACCAGAATTTCTCCTTGTGTACCTGTAATTTTAGTGGAGCTTGCAGTAGTGTTTTAGGTTGACTTTCTCAATATTTTTAAGAGGTCCTGTAATCTGTCTCTGAACTCTTTACTTTTGTGGCATCAACTGACCAGATTTGAAAGAAGTATTGTAAATATTGTATGTTATTAGTAGTCCATTACACAATTTTAAAATTGCAGCTTTGCATTTGGTCTGGTCAAATTCAACATAAATCACTATCATGCACTCTGGTTCAAATCTGTTTTTTTTTATTATTGTTGGCTCTTCCCACAACAGCTTTTTGAAATTAGTAATTGCAATCATTATAGTTTGAGACAGTGCAGTGTTGCCACATGAGAAGATAAAGATACAAATGCAAACAGGGTGTGGTTGAAGAAGCAGTCCAAAGCTGACCAAAATTAAAACTTGAAGGGGCAAATTGATTTGCTAAAGTAGGGAGAACACTGCAAATCACATGTATAAGGAGAATGCTATGATGAAACTGTGTTAAACATTTATACACTGTACAAAGTCAGTTTTAGGGTATGCTTCTGTCTTCTCATTCTCTGTGTAATAACTTAATTAAAATGAAGTTTGATGTTTTTTGTTTATTTTGTACTTAAAAGGGTATTTACATACAGATCCTACACTTCAAAGAATCCCACAATGATAATACATAAGTGGGACTGCTACATCTGTGAAGTGAGAGCCATATCCTACATACAGTATATTAACTTATTTGCACAGTATGGACTATATGGACAGTATTTCTTAATAATAATTTTGTTTTTTTTGTCATGTTATCAAAGTGTGTACACTCTGCACACATAAATCATTTTAATATACAAGACACAATGATACTGAACATTAAATTATACAACCTATTTTTTATGTAAAAATAACAGATCAGGAGGTGAAAATGCATAATGAAAATTAGCTTCAAATATGCTTAGTTTTTAGGAATACGTTTGCAGTTTGTTCAGTCCTTGTATAGTTAGTATTATGAGGATGATCTATCTATCTATCCATTTTCTAAATGCTTTATTCAATTCAGGGGGCCAGAGTCTATCCCAGCAAGCATTAGGCACCAGGCGGAATCCATCGCAGGGCAATTATGATGACAATGTACTTTAAAATTATGTCTGTCCTCTGTGTTGGTGTGAACATACTATAGGATGCATACCTGTCATAGTCCATGACTGAGATAAGAAGACTGACTTGGTCCATGCTCTCTGGTGGGATGTCAAAGATAATCGCTTCATTGTAGGTGGGATTAAGTGTGTTTTTCTTGATAGTCGTCTTCTTCTTTTTCAGGCGTCTTCCATCGCATATTAGGGACACTTTCACATAGGGGTCTGCGAAGGGAAAAAGGAGGGAGAAGAAAAGAAAAGATCTAGCACAACAGAGAATAGGGGATATGTAGCCAAATCAACTTTATGATGATGAATTTTATTGGTTTGATCAATGAAATACAGTGTTGCCAAATCCTATATGTCCAATACAAAACTTACATGTCTCTTTGGAATGGCTGCACCAGAGCAGGGGTATAGAATACTGGTTAAGCCCTTTTCTCATTTTGTGACATGGACACAGGGTGGAAAACATTAGTAGTAATCAAGATTAAACGCACTATACAGATAAACCACATGTCAAGAAGAACTCAAAAACTCAATTCATCCTCAGACTTTCTTTTAATTGAAAAAAAAATTGACATTTCATGCTATTATTTGAAATTTATTTGGCTGATGCTTTTATCCAAAGTATCTTACAGAAGTTAGGTTAGCAATTCAGTATTCAAGTCCCAACAGTGCACCCATCTCAAGCTTGGTTTACATTATTTAAGTAAACAGAGACCACTAGATCCTCTCCAACCAGGGTCATGAGGCCCAGAACTGAGATGTTCTTGCAGATTCTCCTTAGCTGATCGCATGGTGTTGGAGAACCTACACAGATTAACCACCTGCTGGGTCTTTGCACCCTGCATGCTCTGAAGCGGAATATAATCATATGGGGAATCGCTGGGCAGGGCTGAGGCTGGAACTCTGTATGTAATTAAATCTACCTCCTGCTCATAAGTTACTGTCTACTTGAGAGCTCACACCTTCTTTCCCAATGGAGCCCCAAGTCCTCGGAGTGTGCTCGCCACTAGTAGTTAAATGTGTGTTTGGGAAAAGCAAACTGTGCTTCACTCTTCATACTTCTAGATGCAATCCATTCCCACATCTCAAACCTTACCTAACGATCTTCTCAATATGACAGAATAGCTTTTTCTAAATTGACAGAACAACGGATGAGTATTTAAACAACAGGACTCATTTTGGTGCCAACTCTTGCTCCCCCAACCTTAACCTGTGTTCTCTACCTATTTAAAAAAAATCCTAATTGGAATCAGCTGGACCACCAGATCCCTGGCTAACTTGTGTGCGCATGCCTTCACTAATTTTCTTTCTAAATCAGAGGTGGGCAAACCTGGTCTGCAGTCTGTCTTCAGGTTTTCCAGTTCTCTTCAGAGCTTTGGCATGTGAGGGGTTGGAGGAAGCTGTTAAATCAGTCCCACTAAGCCAATAATGAGCTGATTGAGCTCATTAAGGGCTGAGATATATAGACATACAGTACAGGCTCACCAGGATCAGAACTGCCCACCCCATCTCAAAATTGTGCTTTAGTTGTTAGGGATGCAACAGCTCCGAGAGACAGCTGCTCATTACAGAATCACTGTTTTAAGCAGATGTAGCCTGACTATCTTTAAGTACTTATTTTGAATCCTTACTACAGATTTTGATTCACAATGTTAATTATTTATGATTTGTGTGAAATACGTTTTTGTTCTTTTTTTAATCTCTCTGTGTTGAAAGCCTTTGTATCCTTTGCACTGAGGTTCTAATAAATCTGATAAGATTTGAAGAAGGACATAGCTATTCCAGGAAGAGAAAGGTTTCCCATTTACATTATGTAGATGTTTTATGGCACAAATTACTCAGATGGGTTACACTTCATCTATCCAGCAGCTGTAGTGCTTGTCAGGAGAGAATCCAGCAGCGTTTTAAGCTCAACTCCGGTTCCAGGCTCCAGAGGGTCTGATAATCCACTGTTGCTCCAGAGTGCAATTCGGAAACCTACAAGGATTCACTCCGGCTTCATGTCTCCGAGTTGGTTTTAGGCTACTGAACAAGAGCACGAACACATCTTATGGTAGCTACTTTTAAAATACTTATTATATAAAATAGTCTTTTAATTCCAGTTATTTTTGTGTGTGCCCCTACTGTCCTTAAATGTTTTTGTAAACAAATTCTAGTTCTAGAAAGTTTTTTTTTAACCAGGATATTGAATTATAATTATTCTGACACAGGAGAAGTTTTTATTTCTGTAGTTAGGTGGCAGTATAAGGCTACAAAAGAGAAGACCAAGAGTGTTCTGGAGAAACAATAACTGGATAAAATATGCTAGAAGCAGAAGTGCATCCTTGGTTTATTTTTGTATCTTATCTTTAATTTTACCATTTCTGAGACCAGTTTTAGATTCCATGCATATCATGTAAATTATTTCTCCATATAAAAAAAAATAATTTTATTTTATATAATATATAATATATAATATTTTATATATTAAAGAACATCAGACAATTATTCATTCTAGGTTAGGATCACAGCAACCTGGAGTCTATCACAGGAGCACTGGGTGAAAATCCAATCAACACCCTGTACTGGTACACCAGTCCATTACAGGGCAATGGAGAATTTCAAGATTAACCAAGACACAAGAGAAAATGCAGACTCCCTATAGACCATGAAAGAAAATGATGATAGCAATTAAAATCAAAAACAATATTTAATATAGGCAGAAGAAACTCAGAATTGTGTGGGATTGAATGAAATGCCCTATTGATAAAAGAAGATGATTTTTTACTGAAGTGGCTATAACACTTGGAGGATTCTTTAAATATTTCTAGGTAGATGTACTGTATTCACATTTTTTGCACTTGTGTCAGAATATTTTAGAGTCTAGCTGCAGATTTACTGTACTGTTTTTGGTAAAAGCTGATTGTAGTTAAAATAAAGCATTTAGATTCTTAGATCCATTCCGCCTCGGCGCCTCAAAGCATATGTAAGCTGTCGTGTTTATCTTGAGCTCATAGAAAATACAGCAGATGAAATAACTTAGTGTAAAACTGGATTGCTTGGGGGGTAAAATGTAATTGCTATGGATGTTGCTCACAGACTGAAGTAAAGCACAATGGAAAGTCATCATATCTTCAAAGGAAGGTTTTTAATATTGCGCGGACAATTGTTAAAGCCTTCCTTCCTGCAGATGAAATGAAAGTAATAATCAATTTGTGAAACTTCAATTAATGAGATTCATACAGTATTTAATATAAGCTTGACACTTTATTAAGCAACTGAAGCAGCAGACACTTGTATTAGTGTTTGACATATAAGTTGACCTGCTGTAACAATAACATGGCATTTAGCCTTTTAACATCTACTTCAGCAATACAGGTGTAGACAAAAGACCATATATGATGTGTATTCAGAAAATATATATATACTGTATATGTTTTCTATCATTTCAGAACAGCAATATAAAGCTGTCCAGAGATATGTATTTTTGGTGTTCACTTTTACTTGAATTTCTATCTGTAAAACTGTACTTAACCGTATTATTTTGTTTTTCAATTGATAATTACAAAAAAACAACACTGTCAAATCATGTAAAATGAACAACAGCCAACACATTAATATTATTAAAGGAAAAGGGCTGGGATTCTTCATAAAGAAAAATGCAGAAGAATACAAAGGAATAAGAATCTTGAAAAATAAACTATTTAAAATGCAAGTGGGAACAGAGCAGTTAGCCTCTGAGTTCTCTCTATACTTTGTTTTAGGATAAAATTGTGCTAGTGAATAAAATCATGCTGTTAATGAGACCGGTTGAAAAATAGAGTTGAAAAAGACAGTCAGACTGCACCAAACCTTCCTTATTCGCATCCTTAATGAAAAAAACATCTGTTTTTCCTGGCATTCCCTTAAAGATGTACCATTAACACAGCCAATTTTACATAAGATCATTGAGCTGAGGCTTTCCGACTAGTGATCTTTCCTATTTGAAAGCCGCACTCAGATTTGTATGTTTTTATTACTGTGACATTTCTTACAAATATTCAGTTTCTTGAATGTTCCAGGACTGGCAATGATAGAACTGAGTATGTTAAAGTGGTTCATATACCAATAGTAACTATAGTACATTCACACAGAAATCATCATTTTGGTGACCACAATAGTGTCAATTTGAAATTCATCCATCCACCATTTTTCTAACAGCTTCATACATGCAGGGTTGCATGGAGCCAGATTCTAAAAATGCACTTTTCAGTTCTTACCTGAGTAGCCAGTGATGTCCATGGCCTTGAGATTTCTGCACTTAATCACTGTGAGTGTGAGACGGCCAGCAGTGGGCAGGTAACATAGTGAAAACATGATTTCTCCCAGATCAACACTCTCCTGTGAAGAGGAGTGAAAGCACAGTTTTTACTTGAGCATACATTCAGAGCTCTTTAGGGAGAATGAGACCACCACTTTATTATTATTTACCAAATCAAAACCATCGAAAAAAAGTTATTGTATAGGTCTGTATATGAACAAGTAATAGGTTTATTCCATGCTGAAAAGAGAAGAAAGGAAACAACTTTTCGGCTGTGGAGTCCACTTCGGGTGTCAGTGATTTCTTCTCTTTTCAGCATGGAATAAACCTATTACTTGTTCCTTTGCATGCTGACGCAGTTACCCACCTGAACTATGTCTGTATATGTGACAAAAGTCATGAATGAAACACTTGTTGCAAGTACAGATGTTATGTTTTGCTATAGTGGCATTCATAACCTCTCTACATATCACTAAAATGAAAACACAGTGAGGGGTTAACAACAAAACACCACAGACAAAATGTGTCCTCAAGGAAATTTGAAAAATAAAGTAAAGATAATGAACAATATTTTTTTTTGCTAAGAAAAAGTAAAGAGAATTATTTATCAAGAACCATTCATGAAGTATTTAATGTCTGACAGTAACTCTGATTACAAGCTCATGTTTATTACTTCAATGCCCATGCCGTACTGTGTGGTTTTGTGAGAACTACTATACAGCTACATTCATCATTTCATGTTACTGCATGCTATTTTAAACAACGAAACCCATTCTGATAAGCTAGCATAACATGAAAAATTCAGCTGTTATTCCACTTCAAAGCTTTGAAATATAACATTGAAAATCCTATATTTAAATTTTCTGCTGTCTGAAGCCTTATAAAGTTCCCCACATTGTCCAGCTCTAGAATTCTGCCTTTAAATTTCACGTGCTTGTCACTTCATTAAACAACAGCCATGACCATTCCCTTGTGCCTCTCTGCCAGAGCATGTTTTATGACACCAATTAAAAGGAATGCTTTGTGTTTTTGCTGCAAATCACCACAGCTCAATAAAATTAGCACTGCACACAAGGAGCTAACTGCTTTCTGCCACTTTAGCAGTAGCTACAAGATTATTGAACGGTCTCACCAAGACACTTTAGTGTCTTTCTGATTAATATGGTTATACAGAAAAATAACAACTGCCCTAGTGATAAGTTATATAACTATCATTGTATAATCCGTCCATTACGTCTGAATATCATAGGCATTCACTTGAAAGGGGCAGTGCTTTTAGCCTTCTCTGGATCTGTAACTTGATATAAAAGCATAAGGATTGTTTGATGCTTGTGTTACATTTATTTTTTAATTTTAATTATTTTAAAATTTTAAAAATTCATTTACTGCCTGGAAAGGACATTTGGTTATTTTTGAAGATCTTCACAATGACACAGTATAAAAAGGCTTTAAAATTATAACACCTAGAGTTTTTAATTGCTTGTATATGTACAGTGGACCAAAATCTATTGTAATGGACTATAGAGTAAAACTCCAGTCTGAAGTATATTATGAACCTCACCACTATTGGTGAATTTGTAGATTCCAGTCCAGACGCTTTCATCCATAGTCAATAAACTTGACCAACAGATGTTTTCTATGAAACTGTGGTCCCTTGTGACCTCCCATATGACTGCAGGACCATGCAACAGGTTTTCCTGTTGGCCTTTGAGGAAGCCATTATCTATTTGAACATTTCCAGAGCAGAGTATGATGAGTCTGATTAGATCAAACGTAATAAAAAAATAGTGACGCTGAGACAGAAAGACACAATAGGAGGTTGTAAATTTGGTGAGTCCAGTATATCCTAAGTAATTTGGGCCCGGTAATATTAACATCTTACTTTTTATGCCAATGAGTAATTAAAACAAAAACATTATAGACCGTACAATGTATTTTCAAACTGGTGACACAGTTTATATGCTTGACCAGATAACACCAGTACATAATCAAGGCACTGGGTCCTGTTGATAGCATTTATGACAGATAATATATTTATGTTTTTTATAGATATTAGATAGATAGAATACTGTATTCACTCATTATTACATATCTAAAGTTAAGCTGCAATATTACAAAAGAGCAAGAAAGATTCCTTAAAATCCCAGGGAATAAGAGAGGTACTGAAAGAGGCAGAGCTCTTAAAATGGGGAAAGGCACCTTCTGAGGCCATCTGTAAGCTGAATTAAAAAAATACAATTTACATAATTTAGCATATGCACTTTAAATCAGACATCTGTTAATTAATTTTAAAGTTCGTTAAAAACATATGCTATTAATTCACATTTTACTACAAATGTAGATGTGGGTGTTTAATTTCTTGCATTCATTGTAATAACAAAATTTTACACGTTTCAGTTTTTACATGTGAATCTAAAGATCTATTGTATAGTTTTGAAATTCTCTTTTCATTTTCCTTCCCATCAGAAGAAAACTCCTTGAGGCAATGTATGGTGGAAGAATCAGTAAAAAATGAAATGTTTGTTCATATTTATTAAAAACGTTTTTGGATTTGTCCTTTACCTTTTCACCCCATAAAAAGATCCCAGGGGCACCGAAAGGTGTCAACCCTGAGCAGCCATCGCAAGTTTGAAGTATACGATAACTAAGATGACTCTTTCAATGACAAATAAGACAGATATTTTAAAAATGTAATCTCTTTCATTTAATGAAAAATATGTAGTTCATATGCCAAGAAATAGTTGCTGATGCAAGGCCTAGAAGATAATCCAGACTTTGTTCCTTTGGGAAGGCATACCCTGTCAACTACATACAGTACATTTCACCTCCACTGAATGTGGGAGTTGGAGAATGTTATTTTAGATTACACTCAGCAGTTAACTTTCTTTTTTTAGAAGTTCACAGAAGTATTTCACTCTAAAAGTACGCCCTGAAATGGAAATGATGATGCAAAAACTATTAAAAACAGGTTATTAAAGTTTTTAGTTTACAGTCCTCTCTGAATTGAACTGAATTGAACAAAAGTAATGTTGATGCATTAAATAGACTGAAATACTGCAGAAAAAAGCTTTCAGTTGAGAACCGCCATATTTAATCGGCCTAAAACTGCTTTTAAATTAAATGGTAATGTGTCCTTGTGAAAATGTATATTTGATTCCTGATTTAGTTCAAGGAGAAAAAGTCAATTTGCTCATAAGATATATAATCTTCTATCATGTTATCAATCAAACAGTTAATCAATCAATGTTTATTTTTTCATTAAAAACCCACTTGGCATATTTGTTATATATTAGACCAGGATTTCACACTTATTAAACTCAGGAAGGAACAGCAGGATAAAAAAAGTAAAATGTTTTATTAAATCCACACATGCTGCGCTTGCTGCCAAACCTCAAATTAGATTTGAAATATTGAAGGAGTTGAACTTTCTAACATCATTTTTGCTTGTAACAGTTGCTTCCTAATTTCTAGGCCCCTTAAAAAGACTGCATTTCAATTGTGCACATAATACATATTTATATATATGGAAAAATATTTGCACACCAGAGATGCTTTTGGCATTTGGCACAAGTTCCTCATTTTGGTTTTATAATTAATTGACATGAGGAGATAGTGTTCATAATTCATTTGTAACTTATCAAAGATTTCAGATTTCTCACATTTTTTAGGTTCTGTTTTTTCCAATGTTTTATGCCCAATATTTTATTTTAATCAGAGAAAAGCCCTGGCAGAAGACACAGGCCACTCAAAGTGGTTTTGCCTTTTGCACCGTAATGATACAAATCCCACTTTCCTTTATTGTGTTCACCTTCCTGTATTCTTCTTAAGCCAATTACGACCAACTGTTAAAATATGTTGGAGTGAAATGTGTTGTCACTCAGTCGAACATCACGATTTAACGTTTCACTGAAGCCGTGCTGCATCCTGGTCACATGTAATAGACAGATTCATATGTGAATCCTGCATTTCTAACAACTTCTACTGCAGCTACTGTACCTTCAAACCAAAAGGGTGTGCAGTGAGTTTCAGAAACATGCAGGGCCATTGAGATGGCTCTTGTAAGGAGACCATTAGCATGTATTTCGCATGAGTGAGTCCAAACCAGGACCAATCTTTCATTTGGACATTCCAATTCAATATACAGCATTTAAAATGAAATATGACCAAACTGGTTCTATGTAGGCAAAGTGGGGACTGATACTGTAGGCTGGAGAAGGTTAATTGCCCTTTATTTCACAGAGGGCATGTTACTCACTGGAGGGTTTTAATACTCCTTCCTGTTTTATAGAGAAGGAGGGTGAAGACGGTGAGTTTTAAGGAAAAAGGGAAGAGGCTGCTGGAACAGTCTCCTCTGGGGGATGTGGAACACTACAGTTAAACACAGTAACATTTGTTTAGACTCTTTCAACTAATATTTGTTTCAACTAACAAGTTTGTTTCAACATTCAGCTGTTCCTGATTTAACCTCCTCATGCAGTGATTGTTATTTATAGCATTAATATGCAGTCAAACAAATGAGAAACAACTTCAGGACCACAGTGTTTCAAAATCTACAGTGTGCTATACTGTAGCTATTATTACACATAATTGCATATATACTATTTGTAATATAACTAATATTAATGGATGTGCATTGTTAACGCAAATACAGAGTTTTTCATTTCCAAATTGAATTGGTTCAATAGGGTCTGAAATTCCTATGTAATGAATTGGTTTTCAGAGTTGTATTAACAAATGAAATATCTCATTATTGTTTTTAAAGATTGATGTTTTAAAAATGCTATCATTTCATTATGCATTACTCATTAATGTGTCTTTTGTTTCACAAAAGTTGCTCAGCTGGTGTGATCCGAGCCACAGCTGCAGAGGGTGTCTTTGTGCAGGTTCTTCTCGTTTTCTATGCACATTTGGTAGAAGAGATGCTGTGTTGCTGTAATGATAAGAGTGCTGAGAATACCATTGTCTGTGTCTCTTTTTCACAGTAACATTCATAATGATTGTATGTTCCTTGCCAAAGGGCAAGAAGGAACAAAATTACATTACAGTAATAATAGGAATGTAAAGTGAAGCAAATAACAGACTGCAGCAAAGGTCAGAGGAATCATTGTATACAGGAAGCAAGGGATATTTTGTTGCCTTTTTTGTGAACTAAATGCTATGAATTTATTACCATAATATTTAACACATGTAAAATTCCATAGAATTAATTTTCTATCTCAGTCCTCCATTTTCTAACCCTTTGTTCCTGAGTTACTAAAAAACAAAATGGTCTATTCTGCCTCAGTTTCATTCATATTTAAACATATTTAAATGATATGCTTTTCAGAATCCCACACCAGCAATGCAAGAATGCAGTCTTTGCAGGATTTCACAATAAGGCTGCCGCCAAAGCTGAGCTACAAAATGAGTTCTTCTTGGATGCTGTGACCTGCATTAATTCCTAATGCAAAACAATCAAAATGATCATTTTTAAACAGGTGTGTAACATGTCTACTGTTCCTGTGGTGGCTCTGTGGCTAAGGATCTCTGCCTGTGGCTGAAAGGTTGCTGCTTCATATCCTGCAGCTGGTAGAGGAATCCTACTCCGTTAGGCCCCTGAGCAAGGCCCTTAACCCCAGCTGCTCCAGGGGCACCATATAAATGGCTGACCCTGCGCTCTGACCCCAAGCTTCACTCCCTGTCTGTGTGTCTCATGGAGAGCAAGTTGGAGTATGTGAAAAGACAAATTCCTAATACAAGAAAAAGTGATCTTATCTTTAGGCATCACTATATACAACATCTTGACACATTGTACCCCAGCAACTTACTTTATTATGGGCTGCTTCTTTTGGCAGACAGAAAAAAAAGATAAAATTCCCTTCCTTATAAATACCTCTCGTTGCTGAATAGCTGATTAAGAATCAAACATATGCTGACACCTTGAAGATGCTTACTTAGCAGAGTTTTAAAGATTTTGCCTGAATGTCTTAAAGAACAAAAATCAATAATGTCAAGCAAATTCACTTGTGGATTTCATGCAGCAAGTAAAAACTTTAGCTAAAAACACAAATTAGGGAATGCTGATCTAGAAGAGGTGTTCATGATGACATATCTGTAACGAACAGTTCTTTCCGGACCCTATGCGGACGACACAGTCCGACAGAGTGGGGGAACACTAGGGAAACGTCATGCAGGAATACGGGGCTGAAGACAGGGGGGCGTGTCCAAGGTGCGCTGGTGCACGGGGGAGGTGTGGCCGAGGCGAACAATCCGAGAGTAATCCTTAGGGAAAATCCAAAACGCAAGGGTAAGTCCAAAACCAGGAGATCCATCAGAAGAAGGATTAAAAAAACCACGAAGGCCGGGTTGGAACCGGCGGACCGGGAACAGGAACGGGAACTTAACGGGACCAGGCGCTTCCTGGTCCAGGACTCGCACGATATGGAAATCAGATGCAGAGCCCGGATGAGCGTCAGCGCCTGGCTTTTAAGGTGGGCTGGGAATAGGGAGCAGGTGCATAGAATAAAGTCTCACGTGAACGGGCTGGAGCACCCTTAAGGAGGGGGAACTATAATCGTGACAATATCATTTACATCTTCAAAAGAATGTGGGGAAGAAATAAATAAAGCAAGAAGAATTTTATGATATGTAGTTGAAAGATTAGAATTTAAATCAGGAGATGTTAAGTTAAAATTGTTCAATGCGGAACTAAGACCACATTTATAATAATGTTGCAGTTTTGTAACAATCATATTATAAAAATTGCTTGTATGAAATCAGTCCAGAGGAGATACAACCAGATTCTTCCTGAATTTAAAACACATTCATCCTCTGCATTGATAGCCTAAAATAACTGCATTACTTTAGCCATGGACAGAGCAAACAATGAGAGGACCTGTTTCAAGTATTTAAAATGGTCAAAGGCATTAACAAAGTCAACCCAGTGCACTTCTTCAGAATCAGAGTGTAACATGAACTATGGGCACTTCTTTACACAAAGGCTTATGGGAGTATAGAATCAGCTATTCAGTAATGCTGTTTAAGACCCTGGTGAGAGAGGCTAGATGGGTTAAATCTTGCTTGCAATCTTTCTTATGTACATTTTCTAGGTGACAATATTGCCTATCTTCCTTTCAACTACCACAGAACATTTTGGTTCAAATAGACAAAGTGAATGCAGTTAACACAATCTCTACCAAATCACCTGAGCAGAAAAACAAGCAAGCAGAATCACAGGGCCACCTTACCGTCGTGGCATACTGGATGTCTTTCCAGATCGATGTCTCTCTTGAAAGGTCTGATGCCTCAAAGAGGTTCTCCAGTATTACTTCCCCGATCATGTCGTGGCGAGAGAAGCGGTCGAAATCAAAGACGCTCAGGTGAAGCTTCCGGCAGCTCAGCTCCTCGTATGGTACCGGGAACTGGAAGGACTCGTCAAACGTTGGGTTGAGGGTCTTGCGGTGGACTCGGGTCTGGAACTTGCGCTTGCGGTCAGGAAGCAAGTAAATCTTGACGTAGGGGTCCGAACTGCCACAGAGATCCTTAGCAGGAAGGTCAAAGGCTTTGAGGATGTTCACAACAAGGGACTCGTTCTCGTAGTCATACATGAGGGAAAAGTTGATCTTGCCACATGTCTTAGCACTGTTCTTGGAAGAGTCCTCGGCCTCCACAGACTTCTGCTTGTAAAGCTCTGGTTTGATGCGTCCTATACTTGTTGGCTGTTCATCGACATGCAGAAGGTCTGTGCCAAGGTCCAGGCTTGATACATGCATCTGTCTTGGGAGATGCCTCTTAAATGAATTGTGCCTAAACAGAGAACAGGAAACATCCTTAGCAGCCAATCACAGCACTGCAGTCTGTTTAAGGACACAATTTACAAACTGAAACTTATGCAATGCACTAAATATTTCAATGCGTTTGAGAACTCATTACATAGGAATTTCAGACCCTATTGAAAGATTACAGAAAAAATAGTTTGCAAAGATTTATTTATACTTTTCTGTAGTGGGAACTATTAAAAATTAAAAGAGGCATATCTGCATTTAGTGTACTGTTCAATAGCAGACATAATATCAAATTTATGTTTACAATTAAATTGTGTATTTTAAATGATTATCAGATGTTTTATGGATCAAATTTTAAAAAATACTCAGAAATACATCATATCACATATTCAATGTGTAGGACAAGTTATGAAGTCATAGATCTATCACATTTTATACAAACATGTCATAATTCTACTTCTGTATCTGCCATTTAATAACAAAAGTTTGAATCCACCTCTTTGATTCATCTTCATTATGCAATGTTCACCATGTCACGTTAAATTAGTAATGGAATCCTCTGGAAGAATCACTGCCTTTTTACTTAGGTAGACCACCTATCCACCTACAGAAAAAAAATCCATTCCAGGTAGATACTGTATCTTCTAATATAAAAACCCTAGACTGCATCTTAGTTTATTGCTGCTATCACAATACAGCACCCCCTCCCCCCGCCCCCCTTTTACCTTGTAACTTCACTTGCTTCTAATTATTATTAATGTAAAAATAATGAAAATATGTAGACATCTGTACTTTGTGTGTATGGTGACAGAGCCATTATTTTTCATTTTAGAATTAATTTTGTGACTGACACTTTTATCCAAAGCAGCTTTTTTTTAACTAATTTACAGTACGTAGTTAAGCAATTTATTGAAACAAGGTCCTTATAATCGAAGCATAGTGCCTTGCTCAGGAATACAATAACAGAGTAATACTGAGGATTTGAACCCTGACCTTTCCAGTTCTAAGTCCAAAGACTTAACTGTTACTCCACATTTATTAATATACCCCAGCTGTGCCCTCACCTCCACCCCCCAAAAAAACCTTGAACCAACACAGAAGGATGGATGAAGATAGTGTAGGCTTTCCTTAGAAACATTCACCCTCCAAATCATGTGTTTATTATTACAGTGCGAGTTCTACAGTGAAAACTTGCTGATCTTCTATCTGCTGGCAGAACTGTGCAACTCTCACCAACAGCACCTCAAGACCATGAGTTCATGGCTGATCCAAGGGATCACTCTTTCATGCAGTCTGAGGACTCTCTGGCCAACACAAACCCACCCAGCCTCAGTGGCTCAGTGCCAGCTGTGCTGAGACCCTAACAATGGTTAGCTACTGATTCAGCCATTCCAACCTGTAACATCTGGTCTACAGGACCCACCCCAGTTTTTTTTACAAAATTTTGACTGGCTCAGTTTCTCAGGAGATTTAGTTATGAACTGATTTCTTTATCAATATAAACTAAAGTCAGATCACTTGCAATTAATGTATTATTCTATATGTATGCCAAATGAAGCAAAACTTTAGAATATGTAAGACATTTTTAAAAACTTTTGGATTAAAAATACTTTGCCATTGCAATTATTTAAATCAACATTTAATTTAGGACAATCCTGTGTCTTTACCTTTCAGCAATGATTATTAACTGTTGTCCACACACACCCCTGGTGGAGATTTGATTGAGAAATTCAAACTCCTGAAAGGGATAGACAATGTCAGCCCAGACCCCTACCTTATAGTCACAATGGAAACCAGGAGAAGATAACAGGAATGGAAATTAAATGTGAGTTTCACTTGTGAAAAATAAACTCTTCTCTACACAGAGGGTTTTGGGTGCATGTGACAACACTGCCAAACTCTATTCTGGAATTGTATTCACAAAGAACCATCACTACTGCTTAGTGAGTATTACTGTAGATTAAAAATACACTAGCAACCAAACAAGCAAGATCAGCTGAATGGTATTTCATGTGCATAATATTTCTATTACAGTGCTGAACATATGGTATGATCTGACTAGATTTCTAAGCATTTTTATAGATAGTGAGTCATGAAAGATTAATGGTTAAATTCAGTAGAGTCCGAGATAATGCATAGCTGTGGATAAATAGTATTTCACAGAGAGTAGAGAACATCCTACTCCGAGGAGGATATGAAAGATTAGTGTGTGAACTGTTGCTTTTTCTAATCTGTACAAATTCCACAGCCTTCTGGAAAAAAAAACAACCAAGAAAAGTAGAGAAAATATTTATCACCCTTTTTTGCTGTTCAAGTCATATATTCTTTTCCACACATCTCTAAATCAACACTTCTGTCTTTTGTTCCCATTAAAGTCTCCTTTTTTGACTTCTTTCCTACACCACTGACCCCTGGTGTCTTCGTCCATATTCTCTTGTCATGCTGACTGCCAACTTGTAAGCTCCTTTTGCTCTCCTGCTTCGTATAAGTAAAGGTATCGTCCATAGCAGAGACACAGCTGCTCATGAGGCCACAGCTCATCCTTGTTTCCATAGTGATAAGAGAACTACAGAACACAAGACCCTGCCAGGATTGGAAGCCAGTCCATCGATGGGATTATCCCCAGGCAATGCTAGTCCCTGTTTATGAAGCTGGACAGACTGGACCAACAGGGCTAAAGTTTGTAGTTCAAGGATACAACAGTATCTGCAGCAGGGACTCAAACCCACAACCTGCCAGTTACCAGTTCTAATGAGCTACCCACTACAGTATACCTCCCTGCATCCTGTATCTGTATCTTCCATTCACTCCAATGGTGGAACCCTTAAAAATTAAACAGTAAACATTAAAATTGTCGTGTCACTGGCCAGCTTTGTAACAAACATACCTACGGTATTAAAACTACATCCAGAGATCTTGTCAACTGCCTCCACATGCCAACCTACTGTATATAAACTGCTAGAAACATTGACTGCAGTGCACATAGAGACCACATACTACAGATCAGAGTGCAATCCCAGTTACTGTATATAATTCTTCACCTAACTGGTTGTGGTTGCTTTTACTTGTACAGTCTTTTTGCTTCGAAGTCTAACACACAAACTTTAATTTATTTTGTAGTCTGCACTTGCTCGTGTAATGTACTCACAGGCAATATGGTCTTATTCTTACCTGTACATTATTACATTACCCTATTAATCATTTTTATAGTAAAGTATGTTGTAGAAACTCCCTTCTTCCATTAGATCTGTACAGTTTTGAAAAACAGTTTTTTTTATTTCCAAAAAAGTCTTGCATTTCTGACTTTTAAATTTAATTATATATTGTATTGAGGAAACACCAGGATAGTTAATACATCATTCTTGTGAGAAGACAAGAATAGTTACAAAGAAAAGAGAGATTTCAAGTCTTTGTTGTTGGATTACTGGTCTGAGACAATCCTCAAATTATTTTGCTAAGGATCCCAGTGAATCACTTTTTCAAAAAATATTAGGTATTTTATTTGCAACTTACAACACAGTATAATAATGTTATTTTCTGTCTGAAAACCATTTGCCCTTAAGTTTCATTTTTGTCCTGCAGGCTTAGTTTCTCTGTCAAGGTTGAAGAAGATTCTAATTTTTTTTCAGAATTTTAAATACCAAAGTCAATCTCAGTACAGTCATCTCTGTTACAGGCTGCAGAGGAGGGGTTCTTTTAAGTCTTTGGATTTTACCCTGTTTCCTTCAGCTCCAGGGGATGATTCTGTTGGCTCTTTTTTGACCTTTACAGAGTTAGGTCAGGTCCTTTTTTCCCTACATTGAGTAAAATGTAATATTGTTATGTGGTAAAATTATCTTTATTTGTTTAATGATTTAACCCACAGTACCTACAGTATGTAGAATAAAAAAATGAGAAAAAGTGACAGGTGTAGCTAACTGCTCTGCTAATACAGTGAAAAGACTATTCCACTGAATTCTACAAAATATGAATAGTCGTGCACAGTTCTGTGTTCATTATTTTCAATCATTTTGATTTTTAAAAATTACATGGTTGTGAGAGTTGGACATATTCATATCATGAGTTTCAGCTGAATACAGACAAAACCAATTGGCAGTTTTACCTTGGTAATTGATTAAACTACTCTTTTAACTGAAATTAATAACATCAAAGAATCCTTCAACATAAGAGCTACCCTGAGAACTAAAAGCATTAGGCCAATTTTGGAATTAATTCTGTAGTAATATTTGTTAATTGTATCAGTGGTAGGCAAGTGGGTAAGTGAGATACTTGATATTTATTTAATAACCTGTTGAAGTTAAACATCCAGAAATATCCAGTACTGTAAATCAATTTTGAAAATAGTTACAATAAGGCTTGCACGTCTAACATTATACAAAATTATTTTGGTAGACAAAAGAGAAAGCAGACAGTAAACTATATTTTCTGGTAATAATGGCATCCTATTGTCCAATTTCTCTGTCTATACTAATCTTGATATTTAAAGTTCAATATGTGAAAGGGGTTTGAAGGAATGAAATCTAACAGCAAAAAATCATTCATGTGAAACATAACACAGAAGCTGATGGAGTGTTTTCTCCCCTGAGTGCTAGTGAATTCTGTTCAATACATTAGCATTACAATATACCATAAACATCTAGGCAGTTTTTTGGATAATAAAACATTAATAGTTCATCAAAGTCAAATTCAAAGCCTCTGTAAATGCACTTACCACTGATTATTACTCAACTGATTATTACGTAATGTCTTGCATGTCTGAGTAAACTCATAAGCACAAAAATAGCATGATCTGTGAGACCATGAGTCATGAAACCTCTCCAAGATTAATTGATCATCAATCAAGTGTGATAGCCTGGACAGGAGTGTCTAGTCACCACAGAAGTGTGCTTACAGCAGTTGATGGTAACCTGACTTTAAAGTGCTACACTGATCAAGTCTTGGGAATTCACTCACAGCCCTTCCCGTGGGTTCAACCTTATATGACAACATTCAAGCAGGAAAAAACATATCCTCATGCTGTTC